TTGAGGGAGGATTAAAATTATTGATCTTAATGATATTAAATTTCTGTGTGCAATTTCTTTGGTGCACAATGGATGGACTATCTCAACGGAGGATGCAATTCTGGGTGTACCAAGCCTTATTTTGATTGTTCCCTTATAGTAGAGATGTTGTGAGCAGTGATATATGACTGATGTCGCTTCAATGGGCCAAATGTATAAAATTGATGCCTTTAAAAAGTAAGGGTTTTCTTGCTGACCATTTAGCCCCCTATAGTCAAGCCCAAGGAACCAATTTTATTTTTTGATACTATTTCTTTTACTTTGTCATGGTTTCCACACATGAGTAAATGCGAAATTAGTCCATTGTAGGTTCAGTATTATGTACATGTATGAATATTTACATCTGTACTACAGACTTAATTGAGGTTACATAACAATAAAAATAAAAACATATAATGAAATAAAAAAGGCCAGATGTTATTGATTCGTTGTGGATTTTTCTCCTCCCTTTTGAGCAAAATCAATGTCCAGCTTGTACACAATTCAGATGGAGCCGTCACGTTACATGTGTTTGGTATGGAGACGATGTGCCATGGAATGAATCCGTCCCTAGCTTTTAGGATGGGACCGTCTCAGCTCTTGTTTGGTTGAAAAGGGGATGGGATCGTCCCATTTTATTATTTGGTTGGAAGGATCAAAGTACATGGGATGAAGGGTGTTTTCTACACCATTAGTCACTGTTAGTCAAGGGGCCCCACATGTCAGCCAATGACCACACCTCCTTCCTCTCTGTCCCTCGCCACATTTGCTCCACAGAGCCATCACGCCGCCGCCACGGGCACCACGTGCGTCGAGTCGTCTTTGTCTCGCGCTGGCACTACTCAGGAGTCAGGCCTTGTGAGCCTTGTCGCCTTTGCCTCTAGGCCATGCCATCCTTATAGGTGGCTACGCCCTACTCAGCCTGGCCGCCATTGCCACGACTCGTGCCACCCTCAGCCGGGCCGCCATTGCCGCAACCCACGCCACCCTCGGTTAGGAGGACCCTAGTGTCGCCTGCACTTCCCCAATGGCCACCCGCCTGCGCCTCCACATCTGAGTAGGAGGCACCATGGTGTCATCGGGAGCTCGATGAAGGAAACAACGTAGTTGGGAGCTCAACGAAGCAGGTCGTGCCCACTAGCTTGAGGAAGAAGAAAAGCATAAGATGAAGAAGTGATGACACCGATTTAAGATAACCCCGTCCCCTCAATTTTGGGGGGACGGAGTCAGCTGGATCTGGGAGAAATATTTCACCTGGGGATGGACTCGTCCCTCGTTGACCTAGAACCAAAAACTAGTAAAACTAGATTCATCGCATCCCATCCCTGATGATCCTTCAAACCAAACACACCCTTTGTGCCTGATACAGATTAGATTAGAACCGATCTAATAATCCTAGAGAAAGCGACGCTAAGCTATTGGTTTTACAAGCTCAATCTAAGATACCCGAAAAACTCAAGCAGTTAATGGAGTGCTCCGGCGGCCCATGGCCCTAATAAGGTAGCCTAGCCCGGCCTCTATATCTCCAAAGGTCTCAAGCCGATATGCAGTTCTGCTAGTACTAGCTAGAACAGTAGACTATCCCATTCGATAACTTAACCATAGCATATTTTTCAATAATCAATAACTAGCAAACATATTTGGGCATTGCAACAGAACATACAATTTGTTATATTGTCACTTGGATGACTTTCGGATTGAAGATTTATGCAACTATTATGTCATTTGTTCTAATACATTTTTGGATTCAGACTCCGTATCATGGTTGGACATGCGCTATTTGAAATGTGGTTTTGTGGTAGATTTAGATTGTGCAGGTTTTATACTAAAAATATGACCACGTGTTGAACTTGGATTAGAAATGTGTGGCAACAAATGTGAGATGAGGATGGGGAAAAGTGAAGCATAGGGGATGAGCCGCGATGGATGAAAAAATGGACGAGACATTTTTTTCTTTTAGTAAGTATTACGTAGATGTAGAATATCTGAATATGTAGAAGTAGATATTGACAACGAAACTTATTTCTTACAACAGACTATCCCGTTAGAATAGACATAGATCTAGCTCGGAGTGACTAGCGCCCAGACGTCGCGCGCGTCCGGATGCCCGCTCAGCCTGCCCGCGTCCGCCTTCGCCCCCGCCCCACGCACGGACGAGCCCGCCCCCAGCGCACCCCCTCGAACGCAGCACCCCCATCCACCGGCCCCAGCGCCCCAGTCCGCTAGTCCTCCGGTGCGTTGCTTGGCGCTCAGCTCGCCCAGAGCCCGCCACGCCCGCCAGACCACCCCACCTGCAGCGCGAAAGCACGCTCCGGCGCCCGATCAGTAGCACCCCGGTCCACACGCCCCCTCAGCGCCTATGAGCCCCCGTCCACGGGCCCTCGGCTCGCCCCTGGTCGAACAACATAAAACGCTCGAATAAAACACTTGCAACTTGCAATATGGAACAACTTGCTGCAACATAAGACTAAAATATTTGAAATATTTGGAACATATTATTGCAACATTTGTGTGAATCATATGAAACAAACCCAAATCAGAACGATTGCAACATACGTCTAGAAACATGTGAAACACTTTGAACAAATACTTGCAACATGCCTCTGAAACACTTAAAACATATGCCACATGTGCAACATCCCCCGATCTACTATTGCAACATCAAGATGAAACAATTACAACATCCTTTTGAAACATCTGACTTGAAACATGATTTGCAACATATGGGTCGTCCCTACCATGGTGTCCTCGGCCTACCACAGGAGATGATGTCCCGGCCGACGACGACCTTCTCCCGATGGCGGCGGGGTGGTGGTGGCGGTGGCGGTGAACGCCGTGGCCGCGATGGGTGAGTGTGGATTAGGCGCGCGGTGGTGGATGGGCACGACGGATGGCCATGCGGAGGCGGAGTGGGGTGTGCGAAAGCCGAGTGGATGGCCGGCCGGAGATGGAGTGGATGGCTGCGTGGAGGCGGAGTGAGCACGGGGCGGCGCTGCGTGGTGCAGGATGTGCGCGCCCGGGGATGGCGGAGGGAACGGCGGGGTGTAGGATGGGGGGCGCGCGGTGGCGGCGTGAGGCAGCCGGACGCATGCGGTGCGCGCGGGGATGGCCGCGGCAGCCAGCGGAATGGGACGAGCAGGAATTCTTTTTTTGGAAGAGTGAGTCGCATGGGGTGGGACGAGGGAGTGGGATGACCACGGCGGTCAGCGAAGTGAGCAGCGCGGAGTCCGGATGGGGGCGGACACCCATGACGAAGCATTATCGGGCAGTGCTAGCACCCGAACATCCCGATAAACGCTCGCGTCTGGACGCCCGCGCCTGCTACATGCCGGCGCCAGCACCTGCTGCACGCACAGGGACCACCTGTGCCGCTCCCCGCGCTTCCTGCTTCCCGTGCCCCTCCACTGCCCATCGCTCCAAGCGCTTCTCTGCTGCGTTGCTCTGCTCCTGTTGTGCCTGCGCTGCTCTCCTGCTTCCCACGTGCACACGAGGACCGCCTGCACCCCTGCTGCCATCTCGTTCCGCTTCCCTCACTCGCCGCCGAGCAGCGCTCCATCCCTCCGCTCCCCATGCGCATAAATGACACCCCAGCAACTGGAACAGGAGGTTGTGGCAGGTGGGAGCGTGGGGCACATTGCAATATGTGCAGCATGCCGATCTACTTTTAAAATGTCAAAATAAAATACTTACAACATACGTTCGAACACTACACCACAACACCAAGATTAGCGATGGACGGATTTGACGCTAAAAGCGGCTACAGCGACAGACAGTCTGACGCTAAAAAGTTATAGCGACAGACTTCTGCAGACGCTGTAAATGACGCTAAAAATCTTTAGCGTCAAACAGTACTTTTAGCGTCATACAGTCCGTTGCCCTGAATTTTTTTAGCGACAGATAGTCTGCTACTACTCTTTAGCGACAGATAGCCTATCAGTACTCTATAGCGACAGACAATTTGAAGTTAGAAATGTTTTTAGCGACAGATGGTTTGACGATATCATTTAAATGCATTTAAAAAAAATAAAAGGCCATTTGGTTGCAAATTAATATAAAAGTAACATCATTATGCACATTTCTCATACAAATAGATTCATTCATGAACCTGAAACATTGATCCATGATCAGATAAAGTTACAATGCTTTGACAATCCTTTCAGACAAAATACACTAAATATGGTCATATATCCCTCAGAATGCCACATCTCAACAGTGTATACAGAGATATTGGTTCCTTCAACCTCCCATCAGAGTGATGAGGAGGGAGCACAAACTGAATGAGCACTCAGATTACTAAAATGTTCATCACATGGATATGCAGAAATTACATGCACAACATACAAGAGCCAAGAAAAAGGAAAACTGACATTCTGCCAACATGTCACAATGCAACTGCTGATTTGATCTAGTCTTACTTATATCAGCTATAAGCAAAACTTTCCGAAGCAAGCAAAATACATCTCAATTTATCAGCTTGATGAGAAACCTTTTCCCCATCTGTACATAGAGAACTTCCAAATGATAGGCCAGGAGTATATGCTCTATCATATCATGGCTAATGCTACTATAGAAAAAAGATGTCATTTAATCTTGACCCAATTGGACCACTATGATCAGATTAAGCTTACACAACATCAAAGTATTTCTCAAGCAGTCATGCTAAGTGCACAAGAACCATCCAAATAGCATCAGACCATTTACATTGTAGCAAAATGGAGGGCAAAACTCACGAACTTCTAAGAAAATACTGAAAAATGATGTTTGAAAAACAAGATACAAGGAAATAGAGCCAAGAGGAATGAGCTAGTATGGACAAATACTGCATTTCAGAGGCCATCTACAATCACAAAAATATGAATAAAAAACACATGAGTTTCATGTTTGCCATATCAATTTCAAATAAGCAACAATTATTATGTATGATGACAGTTGACCGTATGTCATAAACATACCTAGTCGACCAGTCCAAATAATACCTGCTACTACCATTGACCTGCTGCTCTATCTTGACGCAACTTGTCTCTCTCCTCTTTCATCTTGTTCGCAATCTCAATTACCTTCGGGTTAAATAAATGATCCATAACATATTTCTTTTCCTCTGCTTGTATTTCTTTTATGGCACTTGGGTATGGATTTGGAGGTGGCTTCTTTCCTTCACTTCGGGCAATTTCTTTCAGTTCCTTGTATGCTCTCTTCTTTGCTTTCTTCTGTGTCCGATACTACATCTAGAAAAAGGATGGTGGTTATACAATAGATATATGTAATAAAACTGGTAGCATAACTTCAAATTTAAGTACAGTGAGGCCTAGAATTGAATTTTCTGTTTAATGGTGTTTGATAAAAATAAACAAAAGGATTATTTAGGAGAAAAATTACATCTGCTACAGCCATCGCATCATCTTCACGGACTCCTTGCTCTTTCAGCTCCAGGACACGCCAAGCAAAAACTCGAGCTGGTGGTGGATCAAATCCACTTATCCTGAAAAGGATGGATAAACAATACATCTTGTGTTCAAAGCGAGAAACACAAATAAATCAAGTCCAAGAAATAGAGACGAAATATTCCAGAGAATAGGATCAAAACAGTAATGCCATCAGTAGTCGGACCGAAAAAGAGTCATTTATCAAGCAGTAGCCTACAGATGGAAGGTGAAGATAGTCGCCAAGGTACCAAACTAATACTAGAATGTTCAAAAGAACAACGCTACTCAACAAATTCAAGAACCTCATTAATCTATTTGCAACTGTGCATCCTTCGTAATAATCAACTGTTTTCACTAATCCAACAATTATATAACAGCATTCATAAATTGCGTGATACTATCAGGCTTCAATGAGAAGGCCAAGCATGTCCCATATAAGGATGTACAATACAAATCGAACACGTGCAAATTTCCAAACAAAAAAGCGGAATTAAAACATGAAAATTAAAACCTCGAATACTATTTTAACTATACAGTGTTGCGGGATCACGTTTCTATAAGGAAATAACATAAGAAAAGAGAAGGATTTTACTTGATTGCATCATGGTAGAGCGAATCCGGATGTTTTTTGTTGAACTTCCTAACATACACATCCTCAGGAAACTCGATCTTCTTGATCTTCCCCTCTGGGCGAGGAAATGTCACCGGCGGTGCCCTAATAAACAAGCGCCACTTGTTTTAGTAAACCAGAAAGCAGCACGATGAAAAAGAACGGAAATGTTACATGAGACAAATGATAAAGACACTTTTAAACAAGTCACTAAGCATACATAGACTCGGTAGCCATCTTCGGTTTATGCAAATATACAAATTTAGCACAACTGAACCAAACGAAGCACCAAAACACATAGGAAACCAGCTGGCGGCAACAGAAACTACAGTCAAGAATCACATCTATATGCAATACCATGGTGCTCAGGGTTTTATTTAGAGAACATATAGGAACCAGCACAGCGGTTTCAGCACAAAATCGTGTCATTACTACTACATCACTATCACTACATTTAGAGTTGCAGAGATAACTTAAGTATGAATTTTCTGACCAGGCAGTTTGTGTTCTTCAGTCATTTAAAGGGCAAAAGGTCGCCATATCATGCTCCTTGCAACGAATTCATACTACCTCTTGTTATCTCATATAGTAGTAATTAGAAATTTTGATAACTGATTATAGACCAAGAGAAAAAAGATACAAATTCATACTAGCTCTTGTTATCTCATAAAGTGTTATTCTCAAAACAGAGAAGGCCTAATTCCCTGAAATACATGTACATAAATATCACTTCGACAATAATACATCATTGGAAGCAAAGAAATAATGGATTTAACTTACTAATCTGCTGACTACTAAATGCTCTAATTGATTTAACTTACTAATCTGCCAGCTAATAAATGCTCTAATTAATTAAACAAGAGAGAAATTAAACCAAAGGCTAAATAAGAAAAACAGCATAGCCTCTTAAAGGACAAGACGTAGTTGCTCCCCACTAGCACCTTGCTGCTTAACTAGTCTTGTACCCATACATGTGAGCATCAGATGCTTGTGCAATAAAAGATAGTGCTGCAGCTTCTTTGTAACCATACCTACCACCGCAGAATCTAATTGGCAATACATACCTAATGACATAAACAATAGTTGACAAGTGAAGAGGAATTGTAAGTTTTCAGGAAGATGTCAGCGACTCAGCGTCAACTGTTCAGAATCGCCCCATCGACGAAAAGCAGAAAAAGACTGTAGTCGTGACCATATATATTGGCCACCAACAAAGCTAATACAATAAAAGATCTTTTGATAAACAGAGAGCCCAGGTCCTTCCAAACCTGTTCTAACTGAAAAGCAAATGGAATCCATTAGATGTTGCTCAGATAATACTCATCTATGTATCAGTAGGAAACAACACAAACCAGTATGGAACAAACTCCTAGGAAGGTTACAAATGAGATAGTTTGGCTAAGATAACCTTGGTTTGGTTCAGTTCATTTGCTGCGTTGACTTCAACTTTTGTTTTTACAAAGAAAAAGAGATTGCCTATGGCATGCAATGTGAAAAGGCAAGATCCAACCAATCTGTAATTTGATATTACAAGGATGCACAGCAAGAATCTCCCAAGAAACAATAATTATAAGCAGGCCTTTACTGTCCTGCTTGTTGACCTACTTCCGAGAGAGACACCACCAACTAGATAAACCACTAGTATCTGGCTGAGGAAAAATACCCTGAACTGAAGACCAAGTTTCAGGAAAACCTCAAACCAGGCCTGACGGGAAAACACACAAGAGACTACAAGATGTTGGATGGTTTAACAAATTTTTGTCATCCAATAGTCATTATTTTCTATTTTCCTCGTATAATCAAGAAAATAACCTTAAGCAATATTGTTCACGGAAAAACAGATAAATAATAATCAAAATATCTGAAGTGATTCCACCAAACAAGATGACCATAATTCAACATTTCACTCTACTGTGCATTCTTATTAGATATTTCTACAAGCAATGATTGGGCCATATGTGTACACCATTCTACCCAATAGCGAACAAAATTCATAATGAACATACCATGAGGTGAGGATATCATGAAAAAGCTTAAGATAAGTAAAATACCAACCGTATCAAAATATATTTGAAGCTGAAACAGGAATATGGAAGTAACTTTAGGATTTTCAAACAAAATAAATTTAGTACACTATAGTAGTTATTTTTTTAGCCTAAGATTTCTTGGGAGCATGCTTTCAAAACTTTGAATCTATGGTGATTTGAAAATTTCACTTGAATAAGTTGCAAAAAAAGTTGCTACATCTTTAATTCACTAAAAATAAAAAGGGAAGGTAATTAGCATAATTGTAAATGCAGCCTCTGTACGCAAAGTTAGACCCCACAAGAGAATGGATCAGCCAACTATAACATACTAGGGGCCTCAACCAAAGCATGTAAGCAAAGGGTATTGTAATGTAAAGGAAATGCACAAAATGATGTGCTTTGTCTAAAATGTTCAGCAAAACATTATGACCAGCATGACAGATACAAGGGCAAGACAGTATGACCAATATGAAATCAGACAAAATATTACAGCAATTGACATAAAACTTTAATAGAAATACCTTCTTTTCCAGTGATGGGTGATGCCCGCTCATCTCTATACCTCAGGTTCATCAATGCATTGCCTGGGGTTGGCTTGTCAACCCAAATTGAGAACCTCCAGATGAGGAACTCAAGGAAAGCATCAAGTTCAGGCTCGTATTGGAACAAGAGTCCTGGCTGATATGAAGAATAAGCATCAAAACTGAAAGCAATAACTAGCAGCGTGCTTAAGTTCGGTGCAAACCTCAAACAACAGGCAAAACAGCAGAGTTAATAAAGAAAGCACCTTCACCAAGGAGAACACCTTGAGCAGCTGCTCTTTCAACATGGCAGACATCTCAACATCTAGCCTTGCAGCATCAAACTGGTTGACCCTAGATATTGAAATCGGGATAATGACCTGCATAAGAAAACGACATCAAATTCCACATTAACTGTGCTATGTGCCTGCAAGTATCACGCCCGTTCTGACAGATGGGTCAAAATCACAAAACCACTCTTTGCTTAAGAACCACTATATTAGTGAAATGAAAAAATTACGAACCAACAGCTGCATCAATGGTGGCAACTAAATATGCTTCCAATTCCAAGAGGTCAATATTATCCCAAAATTTCATATCTGTAGTACTTGATAAGCAAAACTGTAACCCAGAACAGCAAAACTAGCAGCCATGAGGGTCATGAAATTAGTTGACTTCGCCCTCGGAGAAGGGCAAATTCCATATGCTTGTGAGGGGTTTCAAGTCTCTACCACTTCACATCTCAATATGCAGCATCGCAAAGTGCCATACAACAAAATTATAAAACGAAGCTAAGAACACTGGGGAAAACACAGGGGCATCTACCTTTGAGGAATCGCGCAGTGACTCCCACCGCGGGAGGAGACGGCGGAACTCAATGACCCATGCGTCCTGCGGCGGCGCCGGCCCCTCCGAGGCAGTGGCCGACTCGACCTGGGGCATAGGGGCAGGGGTGGATCCCCTATTTTCTGGAAAAGAAAAAAAATCGAAATTTCTCATTTACCACATATGTATGTGCATGTAATTAGGTCTGTTGCGAATAGAAATGATGCCTAACTACAGCAGGAGTAGAGAGGAAGGGCCGAGGGGGTGTACCTGTACCTGGTGGATGCCGAGGTCACCGGAGGACCGCGCCGCCGTCCGACGCCAGCCGGTGAAAACACTAGCGCCGCGCTTCCAATCCTGCGCGACTCGCGAGTACGCGCGCGGTCGAGCGAAGGAGACAGGGCGCCCTCCTGCTACCGCTCCTGCTGCTCCTGCTGCCACACCAGGCCCCCGTCACCGTCTCCCAATTCGTAGATCCTCATTTCCCACCACCACAACAGCTCGCGAATCCTCGCACTGCCGAGACGCCTCCAGCGTCCTCCTCCGCTTCCACAGCAAGCAGATCCGTGGAGGAACGGAAGAGGAGGGGAATCGGTGGATCGAGACACTTGTAATTAGATCAGATCCGGATGCGAGCCAGCGTCGGGGTGGGCGGCCTGGGGAGGAGCCGGCGACCCACGAGCCTGGACACAAGCAGGAGGGGGCGGGGTGGACTGGGGAGCAGCGGCCCCGGTGCGGCGGCCGCCGGCGTCTGGCGGGCTCCAGCGAGCGGAGCCCTTTGTCTAGCACGGGAGAGACGAGACGAGAGAGAGAGAGGGAGGGGATAAGGGAAATTTGGGATTTTTGAGTCTAGGTTCTTCTGTGGGCCCAACAAAGATCTGGGAGCGAGCTTGATAGAGATGGGACACGTGAGCTTAGCATGGGGCCATTCTCTTTAAGCGTCAGACAGATTGACGGTATACTTAGCTTTAGCGATAGATAGTTCAACGTTAAAAATCAATACCTATAGCGACAGACATTGAATCGCTAAATATGGATTTAGCGTCAGATGGTCCATGAGCTATCTTTAGCGTTAGACCATCCATCGATAAAAAAAAGTTTTAGCGTCAGATGTCTGACGGTGATATGGTGTTGTGGTGTAGTGGAAATAAGTGAAGCACTTGCAACATACGTCTGAAACACTTGCAAAAACACCTTAAACACTTGAAAACATGTGTGTAGCAATTGCAAAACACATGCACCATCCAAATGAAACAATTGCAACATACGCATGAAACACCTAAAACAAACGCTGGAAGCATGCTTGTTATGCAACATCTAGGCCTACTGTGCAACATTCAGATAAGACACTTGAAACATACATCTGAAACATCTAAAACACTCAAAGCATACGCTTGCAACATGCATATATTTTTATTGCAACATATGCAACATCCTAGATCTATTTTTGCAACATACAGATGAAACACTTGAAACATCTGTCTGAAACGTTTGAAACACTTAAAACATGGCATCGCCGGCAGCCACAACCTATCTGGTGAGGAACTACAGTAGCCAGGAAGCTTGGATAAGGGGGACGATGAGAACAACGACCCAGTGTACACCCAACGCAGGTCCATCGCGGTGACCTCCTCTTGGTGGCGCCGGGGTGGTGGTGGCGCGATGCATGCACGCCATAACCGCGACAAACGAGGTGAGATGGCCGGGGGCGCGACGCGGGATGGTGGTGTGTCGCGGGATTGGGGTGAGCGCGGCATGGGATGGGACGCAGCGGAGGATGGCAGTTGCGGCGAGGTAGAGTGGGTGCGAGCGGACGCCACGTTGGCCGTGGCGGGCGGATTGCGCGGTGGATGCGGCTGCTGTGGACAGACGGCTCCTTGGAAGTAGTGGCTGCGACCGAACAAGAGTTGGGAAATGTTACAAGAGTACTTAGGAGGTCAGAGGCTAGTTGCCTGGGCCAGTCGGCAGGCCCATTAAGCGAAGCGTTCGTCCGCCGGACGCCCTGACCCTATCATTATGGTAGATCTAGACATAGATATTGACTACAACACGTATTTTTCACAAACAGACTATCCCAACGGGCTACATCAGATTATCCACCCTATATTAGTAGGGCAGAATTCCCATTGTCTTGCCGTACTCGACGACGTCACCATATATCTCGTCCAGGGTCTTGTACTTGAACTCGAGCCCTTCCTTAACCAGCTTCGCAGACGACAGGCTCACTCTCGGCTTCTCCAGGAGCTGGTCGTCGTTGGTGCTGCATTGTTTTCAAAAACAAGATCCCATATAAGAACATATAACCACCTATTCGCTGAGGACGTCAGATCGATCGGCATCGGCCGGCTCGATTATTCTTACGACAAATTTGTTTCCACGCCGTACTGCGGGTACTTGCGTGCCAGGAAACGCGCCTTCTCGACGACGGTCGTGTTGAGCCTGCAGCAGATGTACCTCCCCGCGGCCTCCGCCTCCTCGGCGACGAACAGCTCCGCGCGGCAGAGGTCGTCGACGTGGACTAGCTGCACCCCGCCGGAGGTCTTCTTGATACCCTTGAGCGCGGCGAGCAGTGCCACGTTGCCTGGAGAGAACAACACCGAACTGGCCGCCGCGCCGGCCGATCATGTTCACGCCGTAACCCCCATAGCAAGCTGATGAGTGGCGCATGCAAAGGGACAACAACGAGGGACCTCACATCCTCATCGCTCACCGGTAAGAAACGAGAGGCAGACGGGGACGCTGGTGTTGACGACCGGAGCCGGCGCCGCGCCGACAGTGACGACGGGGCAGACGGTGACCAGGCTGATGCCGTGCTCCTCCGCGAACCTGGACGCCGCCTTCTCCAAGAGCACCTTTGACACGCAGTAGGCCCACCAGAGCGGCGGCTTCTCAGCTCTTAGGTACTCGACGTCGGACCAGGAGTCCTCGTCCAGGACGACGTGCCCGTCGTCGCCCTGCTGCGGCAGCTCCGGCCTGATGTACACGCCGGCCGACGACGAGGTCAGGATCACGCGCCGCACCGTCCCGGCTCTCGCGCACGACCTCATCACGTTCAGCGTCCCCCGGACAGCAGGCTCGATCAGTTCTTTCTGAAATAAAAAGCCACCGGCGAGCTGATTGATGATCGTGGCGTACTTGGCGTGGGAATAGCATCCGTCGAGCAACTCGATCCGGATCATTCTTGGGTAATAATAACTAAACGCTCGGTTTCGTCACCTCTGGATCCTCTGACGCGACGTTCACCGGAGCGGCGACGAGGAAGGTGTAGTCGCAGCCGGCGCACTACGTAAAAAATAATTTTTAACAACGGTTTGATTTTTTTTAAGACGGTTGGTGATGGAGCCGTCCCTACAGTGACGTGCTCGGGTGTCCAGACACCAACCGCCCCTATAAATGGAACAGCAGGGGTGGCTGGTGATACGAGCCGCCCCTACAAATAGGGTCTAATTTGTAGGGGCAGCTCAATCACCAGCCGCCCCAACAAATGCCCTCATATATATAGCTCCGATTTGTAGAGGTGATTCAATCACCAGCCGTTCCTATAAATGACCCACATATAAAACAGCTGCAGCACCTTCTTTCTCCTCGGGTCACTCATTTCAACCCGTGAAAGAAAGGTGGGGAGGCCTTGAGCACCTTCCAAAAATTGCTCTACTAAGGGGGAAAGGTTTTGGTCTCAAGTCATTTAGTGGAGAGGTTGTAGAAGGTAAGAAAATGATATTCCATATTTTTTTGAAGTTTTAATAGTTGGTTAGTGAGTAATTAAAGTTTTGTTTTTCTCTCTCTTCTATGGTGCTTGAGCTACTTATAAAGCAAATTAGACCCAAGTTTTAAATGTACTAGGATAAATTAGGGAGGGGAACAAGATAATACCCTTATTTGGTCTATGTTTCTTGATTTTAGTGAATAATTAGTTAGTTTTATGGATGTTTCATATGCATGTGGATCTAGATCTAGGGTTTAATTTTTTTTATTAATTTTATTTTTGTAAATTTATGTTTGGTGAAATTGGACTAGGGTTTGTATGAAAGATATTGGGTAAAGTATAATTGTTGATAATTGTTGTATTTGAAATGGTTTATTGTAATCAATAAATATGTATTTTAATTATTTATGGATAAATGGGTCATTAATTAATTTTCCTCTACCATAGTGTGTTTGTATGCTTCATGTAATTATATTAGATTTATATTCATATATATCTGAAGTATATACAATTATTCTCAAGTAATTATTAATTTGTTTTATTTTTATATATATTAGAATAAGTAGTCCTTTAATATTTGTTTTGTTGTTGTTGTAAAAGATGGAGTACATGAATTCTTGGATGTATGGTTCGTTAAGGTTCAAGACAAGTTTTCGTAAAGAGGTGGATTAATTTATTGAAGCCACAAAAAGCATGCAACGATATTGAAAAGAATAATGATACAATTATTTGCCCATATAAAGATTGCAAGAACCGTATGGCATGAACAGATGTGAATATCATCAGATCACATTTGATTATGCGAGGATTTGTTGAGGACTACATAGTATTGATTCATCATGGTGAAACGGTTATTGTTAACGACGAGAATGTGGACGAATACGACGACGAAACCATAGAATCCCTGTCCCAATATTCAGTAGAGCTTGATGCACGAATGGATTTCGAGTTTGGCAATGAACAATGTGGTGATGCTGGTGATTGGGATGATAACGACGAAGGTGGTGCCAATAATGATGGTGAGGGGATGAAGATGATTTGGAGGACATGATTCGAGCCCTTGGACCAGAGATTTTATTAAATAGCCCGAAAGGTCTAGAAAATTTGGAAAGGGTGACAAAAGCATCGAAGGAGACTGTGTATGGTGTTGAAAAGGGTTGTCCGACATATTGGACATTGCTTTGTTTTGTGCTTGAGTTGCTCATCCTGAAGGCTAAGTACGGCTGGTCAGACTGTAGTTTCAATGATCTATTGCATCTCTTGTCATGGGTGCTGCCACAACAAAACTTAGTTCCCACCAACACATACCAAGCGAAGAAGGTCGTAAGTCCATTGACAATGGGGGTTGAAAAAATCCATGCATGCCCCAACCACTGTATACTTTTTCATGGCAAAACGTTCAAGTCACTGGATAAATGTCCCCGGTGTGGGGCCAGCCGATACAAGAACAATGACCTTTACGATTGGGACAAAGCCTCCACGGGAAAAAAGAGGAATAAGAAGGATATAAAAAAGGTGGTACAAGAATCTCAGCCCCTAGAGGACACTCCATTAGGCAACGATGCAAAGTAGAGAAGAAGTCCTGTCTTGGTAATGTGGTACCTGCCAGTGACCGACCGCTTGAGACGTATCTTCCTAAACCCTAAAGAAGCCGCACTCATGACATGGTGGGATGATGAGCGCAAGGTGGATGATGATAAGATTGCACACCTGGCTGATTATAGTCAGTGACAAAGGTTTGATGAGAAGCACAAAGAATTCAGCGATGACCCAAGGAATGTATGGTTTGGCTTGAGCATAGATGGAATGAATCCCTTCAATGAGAGGATGAGCGACCACAGCACATGCCCAGTGATCTTGACCATGTACAACATCCCAACATGATTGTGTCAGAAGAGAAAGTACCTTCTCCTCAATATTTTTATTTCTGGCCCTAAAAACCAGGCATTGATATAGACGTGTTCCTCGAGCCTTTGAAGGAGGAGATGTACGATGTGTTCCGAAAGGAGGACTTCATATGTAGAACAATAATATTTGTTACTACCAATAATTACCCCGCGTTGTTTGCTTTGTGTGGACAGATCAAAGGAAAGACGGGATGCTTGGTTTGCTTGGATGGTACTACATGAGTGTACCTGGATGCATCCAAGAAGATAGTTTACCTAAGGAACCAACGCTTCTTAAAGACAAGTCACAAATATCGCAGCAAATTGTTCTTTAGATTTTATGACAACGCTCCAGAGATTGAACCCCCTCCGGAGAGACGTCATAACGGAGAACACGTGTACAGAATGGTGAAAAACATACGCGTCGTCTATGGAAAGAAGAATCTGGATGGGACGAACAGAGATAGAAGCACACCTCCTGTCGAAGGCGTACCTTTGAAGAAACAATCGATCTTCTTTCAGTATCTGCCTTATTGGCCATATTTAGAGGTCCCTCATGCCATTGATGCTATGCACGTGCAGAAGAATGTCTTTGAGAGACTCATTGCTACCTTGATGGACACAGGCAAGTCAAAGGATGGTTTGAAAGCATAGAAAGACATGGTGCAGCTAAACGTGATGCCACAGCTTCACCCGGTACCTGAGGCTAATGGAAAATATACTCTGCCCGCGGCGTGCTTCAACCTAACACCAGATGAGAAGAGAGCTATATGCACTTTCCTGAGGGGGATCAAAGTCCCGACTAGGTTTTCAGCAAATGTTAAGAAGCTAGTGTCGATGAAGGACTTGTCAATAACACATTGCAAGGCTCACGATTGCCATGTGATGCTGACAGTGTTTCTACCTATTGCAATTAGGGCTATAAAGCTAGAGTTCTTGAAAATGGCCATCACCCGCATGTGCTACTTCTTTTCGAAGATCTCACAGAAGACGATTGGCAAGCAAGAGCTGAGTGACCTACATGAATTTGTGGTGGAGACACAAAACTAATTGGAGATGTGTTTACCTCCTGCTTTTTTTGATATAATGCCACATCTCATGATTCACATGGTTCATCAGATACATGCGCTGGGCCCTTGCTACTTGCATGAAATGTGGTCCTATGAGCGGTTCATGTCGGTTCTAAGTTGATACGTGCATAATCGAGCATACCCAGAGAGCTCCATGATAGAGGGTTACAGTACTGAAGAAGTCGTTGAGTGTTGTCAAGAGTATCTAAAAGTACAGAAAGGAATTGGTAAACCCGATTCTCATCACAAGGGTAGGCTGGCTAGGAAGGGCACCAGTGGTAGAAAAGTGTTCATCGACCATGATTACAAAGAGGTGAGTCGGGCGCATTACAGTGTCTTACAGAGTACACAACTGATGCAACCGTATATTGATGAACACTTGACTATCATTATGGCGGAGAGAAATGGCCATTCGGATGATTGGGTCATGAAACAACACAAGCAACGACTAACTACATGGTTGAAGGACCAAAACATACCGCATAGAGAAATCACAGACTCTATTACCATCAGTAGGTTGGCAGAGGGGCCATCGAGACAGGTGATATATTGGAATGCTTATGACATCAATGGGTATATGTACTATACCCACGCAAAG